TCTCACCTTAAACCTCCCCTGGCACCCATCTCAACATTTCCAACATCTTTTAATTACTTATTCATTCTTCCTCACTCTTCTGCCACCCATGATGGATTGCCAGTAATTTTATGGGTCTCTTGGAAAGAAAGAATTATTCCCATTTCATCTCTGGTAAAGCTGCATGGCCACATAAACAAGAAGGTGTTGGAAAGGGCCAGGACTTGTACCCTATTCATTTACAACCAGGAACATTTCCTAACACACATAGCCAAGGGCAGCAGTCACAGCAGTGTTGATAGACCAACTTTCAGCTCACTGCAAATATTAATGCTCAATTATGCATACACACATATACAGAGATCATTAAGTTCACATGCATAGAACTACATAGAAATTTATATACACATGTGGGTGTGTCGACATAAATATTTATTTATCAGTACAGAGAAACTTAATGATTCCCATCTGGAAATGAGTGTCTGCACACATACACACATAATGAGTCTACTAAAATGATGCAGGGCTGTGAAGCAAAAAGGTTGTTCCTCTTAAAATAGGTTTGGAGAGATGCTTAGCGCAGGAGATGAAGTGGCAGGGGTAATAATTATGAGCCAGAGCTGGAACAGCATAAAGCCCTTCTCTGGACCCATGACAACATCTTGTCTCTGATGTGAATGGTACAAACTACTTTGGATATATCACAACTGACTAGAAGGGGAATGCATTGTGATTCCTTTCCTTTGTTTGACAGTGTCAGACAAGTAACATGCTGTGCCTATGGCTTGTCAATCCAGAAATGTTAGATCTGACCCATCAGAACATGACATCATTAAAAGATACACTAATTAACAGTGAGGGGTACAGCACAGAACATAGAAACCTGCAGATTTCAAAAAGGCTAGAGCATTCTAGGCATTCATCTGAGAACATGTCTAAGCCACCACCCTTACACATTTATTTTCCTAGAGGACCCTGTGTGTTCTGCAGTCTTTTCCCCAGACCTGCACCCAGCACCACAATGTGCTTTGGTACAAAGCTCTGCACTAAAGGAGCTGAACTGATTCTCTTGTCAGATGAGAGATGTGTCAAAGCAACAACAAAAGGAACTGCAGAAGATGATGAGCCAGGACTGGAGGAAGGACAGTGGATTTACTTTGGTTAGGCAGCATTCAAGGCAGACCAGCTCACACAGTCTCGTGATGCTTCCCTGTGCATCACAAAACTACACTCTTAACTGAGCCCCCCCAGCTGGTAAACAAATAATTAATTCTTGCAGCATTATAGCCATACAGAATCATAGAATAATTTAGGTTAGAACAGACCTCTGCAAGACATCCTGTCAGACACCCCACTAAAAGCAGCTCCCAATTCAGACTACTCTTAGATATTCAGAATCACATAAAGCCCCTTCATAAAGCAAGTTACTGATGTTACCATACTGACAAGTTTTTTAGGACTGTTTAGGACAACATACACAGCAGAAAGCACAGAGGATACAAAAAGCCTAGGATACTCATGCAATAAGACAGATATGGAAAAAGCTCACTTAATAGCTATGAAGTGGTACAAAATTGTGTGCTAAAAGGGTTGCTCCTTTCAACAGCCCAGAGAGCCTCTCACAGCATGTGGCACAAAATGAAGGTTGGGAAATATCATTCTACTGATATATTGATTTTAATAAAATAGTATTATGAAAATATTGTTAATAATGCAATATTTTAATAATAGTTGGAGTATAATGACTATGTATACACATTCCCCTCAGAATATTATTTTTTTTAAATGGGTGAACACAGAACACTTTGATGCTAATCTATGGAAGAAATTTTTTCCAACAGGAATCAGCTGAGACCACTAGATGTAGTATTCTGCATTTTCAGGGATGAGAGACGAACTTTTAAAAGCCAGTAACCTACCCAGTTTGGCAGCACACAAATATGACCACAGCCTTGGTCTCTCTGCCTCACTGCTGCTTCAAGTCTAAGACCCTATGATCAGTTTGGGATGCAAATCCCAGACTGTTGTGCTCCTCTCATGAGCTTCTTGAAATTGTTGGGGTTTCTACCCACAAACATGAATTCCATGCACCTCCAAACCACCGTGTGTAATCTTTGTTCAGGGGTGGCAAGTAGCAATAGAAATACATTGATTTCTTCTCAGCCAAATCTTCCACAAGCTCAGCATTACCCTACACTGCCCTTATAGATGAGTTCACTAAAATTCTCACTGGGAGAAGCACCCAAGTGGTTTATATAGAAATGGTTTACATACAGCTTTATAAACAGGCTCTTTCCTCCTCAGGTCCTTTTGTGGATAGAAATTTCTCAGAACATTCATCGCAAGTGTGATGTGAAATTTCTTTGTATGGCTTTTACAGACTATTAAGAATGGTTTTTAAAACTGCTAATGATGACAGTAATAATAAAGACAATAACAATAGCAATAGCAATTGCAATAATAACGGTAATATGCCTGCAAAGATTTCAAAAGAAAAAGTTCTCAACAAACCTAGTACACGATATTCAGGAAGATAACTCACTTCCTACATTCTCCACCAGAAGACTACAGAGATATAAATAACAATAACCTTAGATTTATAATGCATTTTTCATCTCAAAAGAAAACTGCATTGATTTATAAAGCAAATGGCCTAAATCCACAGCTAGTTGCAACTGATTAGCTCCACTGATTTCAATGAAGGTGCTGATGTGCAGATTCATGTGAGTTCAGCTCTGTCTCTCTGCACGTGTGTGCATGTGTCTGCACGTGTGTGCAGCTGGAAAGTGACACACATTGCATGAAGAATTTCACAGAAAAACACCATATTAAACAACACAGAAAATTACACATTGTCATTGCATTTGCAGAAAAAATGCTCAGAATGAAGAGAATTGCAGGTTCTAATCTTTAGCTGGGAACTGGCATATGTGTTTTCCCAACAGGATGCTCACAGCAGTCTCCTGAAAAGGCTCGCAGGTATATCATATGCTGTTCAGTTTTGCTCTTTGCAAAAACAGGGAAAAACAGGGCAATGTTTGCAGATAGCAAGGCAAGAGATGCACAGATATGCTCTTCTACAAAACAAGGACCTTTCTTTTTTGAAAAAAAAAAAAAAAAAAGAAGAAAAAAAAGTCAAAGCCAAGGCATTGTTAAGGAATAAAGGAAAAGCGAGCAATGCCACCAGAACTGACACCACCTCTACCCTGATAAAATCTCAGTGGCTGTCTGTGACAGACACAGAGGCTGCCTTGTTGTGCTCCAGCACTGTTTGGGAATAAAGCAGAGGAGTGCTGCTGTGTAAAGTATAACCATAATTACTTAGCCTGTCCTTCCTAAGACAGTTTATCACAGGGGATATGGATGTGCTGCACAGGAGTCAGCTATGCTTTCCTGAGCCCTCCAAGGCTACAGCACCAAACATTTCTTCTGCCATGGCATAGATGGCACAGAAGCCAGTTTAAATGACCATTTGTTAGAAGAGTAAAATATTATTTTTCCCCAGCTCCTCTCTTGCAGCTGAGCTCAACTTCAAGTATAGGAACATGGTCACTTCTGTTTGTGTAAAGCTGATGTAGAGCTGGTTTTGAAAAGCATAACACAAATCAAACAACGCAGTTAGAATACATTCAAATCAGTAGCAGAAATGTCTAAGACACACAGCTATTACCCTGTTCCAACTTCATCAGAAACTGATGGCACTCAGTTTCTTACTCCCTGTGACACCAACAATGAGCTCCACCCACACATTTATGCTGTATAAGTATGCAGATGGACAGAAGCCTACAAGAAAATAAACTTGACCTGAATCTCTTTTCTCTTGCAAGCAGTGAAAATGTGCAGGAACTTCAAGTGCAGATGCAGTAAAGCAGATTGACTGCAAGATGAAATTTATAATGAATACCCCTGAACTGGAGGGGTGCAACAGTGTGATCTGATGTGATTAACCAAAGGCACTTCTTCATGCCAAGGTAGGTATGCTTCACAGGCATGCCTCAGTGTAAGGCATCTTAGCTACCTTGCTTTCTGATGTTTTTCAGAAAGCTGTTTCAGCCAGTTCAAAGACACACAGGTAAGGAAGGCATTTCTGAAACCAATGAAGGCAGTGCATCTTGTCCTCGCTTTGTTCAGAGCCCCAGAGCACAGTGCTCTGATCTGCTCTGTGCAAGAGGTCAGATGACTTCTTAAAAATTCCTTTGAACCTAAAAACTTCCCTTTCCTGGTTGTTAAACTCAAATCCTGGCCTGTTCTTGGGCCAACATCATTCCACTGGTTCCACCAGCCTTATCCAGTGCTTCAGCACTCCTGGGAGGAGGAAGGTCCCAGCACCATCAGCGCCATCCCAGGCTCTTCCTTCCATGGGATGGGTGAGCCATTCTACACCCCAGAACAGGAAAGTTATTCCGAGCTCAGCTCTGCGTATGCACAATGAGAACACTTTTATCTTGAGCTAAAACTGGATGTACAGCCACAATGCAAGCAACAAGGTTGGGGTATATTCATACCCACCAGCAATCTCAAAAGACAGTCATGTTGCACAACTGGAGCAAGCACAGAACTGGCATGAGGTACAGCCATACAGATCTCTGACTTCTGAAGAGCACTGCAGTCCCTGGGCCTTCAGATCCAAGGAATGCAACCTCAGCAGTAATTCTGAGAAAGGACCCCTGGTTGTCACTAGGTGCAACCTGACCAAGGCTACACCACTCTCCAGAGAAGCAGATCTATCTACTGCTCTATGTGAACTCCCAGGCTAGAGCTTGGGACCATCTCTCCTTGCTATAGCCCCTATCACTGCTGGAAAGAGCTTGGCTCATCATCTATTTGCCACATGATGCAAGAACATGCCAGCCAGGCCTGTGGCCACCAGCAAAACCCACAAAACAGCACCATGCCTTCATGAAACACTGCATGTGCAGCTACACAATGCTGCACTGAACATCATGAGGTAACCATGAACTTGGGGATCTCCATGCACCCCTTGTGCCATCACAATTTAAAATTGGAGCTGCTATACTTACGTCATTATCTGGGTCTCTATGCCAGGGTCTACAAGGGATCCATCCACAAAAAGTGGTGTTGATGTGAAACTGTATTTAGTCCAGGATCTTCCCTCATCAAAACTCACCCTGGGATAGAAGTAGACAACATTTATACATATAAAAAGACTTACTCTAGAGCAAATGTAGCAATTAAATGTTGGCTAAGGTCTGCAAGCTCCAGCAGCTGGATTTACAGACAAGCACCAATCTTTGCCATTTCCCAGCCCACTAAATTCATGCTCTTGATGGACTTTTAAAGATCAAAGCTTTAGAAAGCATAAACACTGGCAATAAGGACATGTATATACTTTATGCAGCTGTACATCAGACCTCAAGGGATCAAGAGGCTTTGCCAAGACCTGTTTCTGGGTCTGGAATAGCACCTGGCATGAAGCACCACTCAGAGCACATGCAACCCTGGCCTGAATGCATGAAAATTGCTTTCACCACCACAGGACATTTTGACCCATCCCTGTATCAATGCCATATGGCATTAGCTACAATCTCTCTAGCCTTATGAGTACTTAAAGGCAAATTTAGCTTATTTGTGGGAGTGAGGAATGTTCAAAGTGTGTGCACACACAGGCATCTGAGCACCTGGATCTGTCTGGGAGACTCTTGGTGGACACTGAATCCCCCCCTGCTCCAAGCAGGTAGGACAGTATCTGACACACCACCAAAGGACCAAGAGGCCACTGTAGTGTGTATTATAAACCGTGGGTTACACCAACCTCAGATCTCTAGTGTGGAAAGCCAAGACTGGCAGTCACCATTCCCTAACTCTCTGCCCCTCATGTCACTTAACAAGACACCTTCACCTGTCTCAGAATGTACCTGTGCAAGAATAGGAACTTTACACCTAAGACAGAACTCTGGGAGCACAACAGCACACAGAAGGATTATCTGCCCTAAATCTATTTATTTAAATGTATGTATCTTCCCACACACCTGTGCATTTGTATGCGTTCTGCTTGCATGCTTATCTCTCCAAATAGCATTTCAACTTCTGGGGCACAGCATGCTTCATTAGCTTAGCTAAAGTTCTCTCAGCTTTTCAATTATCCGCCCCTCTTTTCTCCAGCATGAAACTTATTGTACAATGTCTCAGCCTGAGAACTAATGGATTTACATGTACCCTTTAATCTATTCCACTCCTGCCCATAAAGCAGGTGCCTACTGAAGCAATATGAAGCAAATTCCAAAGCCCCTAAGGGTACAGTTTTGAAGGAAACCTGTTGGAGCTTATTGATAACAAATCTAAATCACTACTCATTTAATAGAGTGGGTAGGGCACTCAGAACTGCACGCACCATTTCAGGAGATATTGTGAAAAGAGAGCATCTGAAATGAGCCTCTGCAAACAAAGGTGAACTGAGCTGTCGGCTCCTATGAAAAGTCAACCTGTGATCAAATCTTTCCCAATATGTAAGTACAGGCACTTGTAGTAACCTGCTTTTTATGCCTGAAGAGCTTTCAAAATTAAAGACACAATTAAAACAGTTGCGCCTGGCTTGAATAATGCAGTAACTAATGGTTAATACATGACTTTTAGCATTTTCCGTAAGGGGCTCACCTTTCACTCTTCCAGAGCTCAACTTGCTGCAGTCTGATGCACCCACTGCTAGTGACACCCACCCCTGGCTATCACAAACTTCTCCTTCCTTGACTCATCCTTGGTTTGGTCTGAAGATTGGGACATGGTTCTGATGTCCTCTTTCCTGAGAGCACTTTAATTATGCCATGACAACAGAGTTACCCATCAGAGGCTTCCAGTCACAGCCCAACACATTCACAGCACAGACTGGAGTCTGCAGCTCACCCTTTGGAGGCTGCCCTGTTACTGCTCTCCTCTGTGTGTCCAGTTATGGAGCCAATACATCCCATGGTTAACAGTCCACTATCACATTGTGACTAAAGCAGTCATTTCTTTGCTTCAGGTGGCAAAGAAATGGGCTCAAATGCAATATATTCAAACTTTTAAAGAAATCTATGTTGCATTCATCCCAGAGTTATCTGTCAGGTCAGAAACATTAAGTCAAGGAGCTTTTTATATTGAAAAAGTATCTGTTAATGTCTTCAAAGTACATCTCCGGAACATGACCTTGTAAATGGGTGAAGTCAGCCTGTCTTGAGGTGTCCAGATTTGGAATGATTGCAGTTTCACTGGAGGATTTTGTACAATAATGACTCAGGTAGAGGAGCCCTTAACACCTCATCACTACTGCCAAACACCATTGCTTTCTCTTTCTATTTGACTGAAGACCACATTTCCTGTTCTGCATGCAAAGTAATAGACATGTGCTTAGCACCATCAAGCTGAGAGACAACCCAGTATTGTACACAGGAACACACCTTGTTTCTGAAATCTATTTCTAACTAATTCACTTCTAAACAACATGAGAAGCTGGGTGGGTCAGTCCATTAGATATGCCCCTCTGTCAATCAAGCCCCAAATTGAAGGTGGTACTAACACAGCCATTTTCTGTAAACGGTGTTAGTTATGAATTTCAGAATGTGTAACTGGTGCAGGAGTCAGAGGGGCAAGAGCGAAGAAGAGGATAATTTTGAGTGGTATCTTTAGTGTTTAGGCTGTTATAACCCATTTATAGCAAAACAGTGTCTTCAACTGAAAAAAACATTTTGCCCTATTTCACCTCCAACTCTAATCAGTCGCCACCACAGTATCTCTGGAAATTGATAGTCAAATACTAGAGGGGTTAGCAACATATCTCTGTTGTCCTTATCTACACCTACTGCCCTCTCCTCTCCCTCCCTTTATCAGTCTTACCAGATTAATGTTAAATTCTGTAAACAAAATGTAGAAACGAGAGACACATCCTCTCAGAAATACCTGAAGCCCAAAGGATGACTTAGTTTATGTGTGTCTGTAGGAAAGAAACCCCACCTGGAAGCTCATAGTACATTACCAGTGCAAAGAGTAATCATAGGTGAGTGTATGGAGCCAGTACCTTTATAAAATGGTGCAATAATCATGATATTCATCAATAAAACCAAAACTGGGGTAAAACATAGATAAGAATGACTTCACCTGCTCATTTTATAGACACTGGCACCCTCTCAAAGTAACAAGTTTCCTTACCACATGTGCCGGATGGGCACTGACGTGTGTTTCATGGCCACTAGTGCCCCTCCCCAGTCCAGAAACCAAACGTTGTACTCCTCCTCAAAGATCTGCAAACAAAATACTGCATGAGTGCTCCACTCCCCTGGGAAGTGAAGAGTCAGAAGAATAGCAAAAGGCTCGGTGCTTTCCTTTGCTGTGCAATACGTACCTGTCTCCAGGAATTGCCACCATCAGAAGAGATGAACACGCCAACCTCTGTGTAGGAAAGTTCAGAGCCAATATTGCCTGCAACACAAGTGTCAGACATTCTTCTGTGGATGAACACACTAATGAAAATGTTAATTAAATTTCTGACATTTAATGCTGGAAAATTAGAAATTAAAATAGGTTGATACTCTCCTGTTACCATCAGAGAATTCAACTAACCACATTATTGTGTCAATGCTATTTCAAAAAAGTTCTGGCTCTGGGAGGCCGCACAACTCAAGAAGGGTCTTTTCATCAGTGCTCAGGATATGGGCAATATCATACTGTCCATCTACCTAATTTTCTTCTCTGACACCAGCAAGAGTCACCAACTGTTTTAGATGAGGCTGTAAGGAAAACTTGATGTGGGCAACCATAGAGAAGGTCAGTCTATAGGGACATCCAGGTTCAAGAGGATAAATCTACTGTTCCAGTTCAAAAATCTTCTTAGCCCATTATCTTATCATGAGTGGAAGTCCTCAAGAATTAGACACTGATTTAAAGGTAGCAGTGTAAGTTTTGTATCATTATATTTTAACCACCAAAATGGAAACTCCAAATTTTCCAACATGGATTTATAGATGGAGGCAAGGAAAGCGAGTAAAGAGGCAAGAATTGATTGTTATCACTTCATTCTGTCTTTCTGTGCAAAGCTATTCCATTATTTCCTTCATTCTCTTCCTCTAGTTTCAGCTGCATGCATTTAAACCTCACAAAATGTAACTCCCAAACAAGTCAAGAGGATTCAGCAGCTGTACAATTAGACAATAAAACATAATTCTTCCATTTGCAGGAATCTAACTTCTGTCCTGTACCAAGTGTCCAAGTTTCCAATCATTGCTGGAAATGCCTCACTGTAAATGAAGTGTTTGAGCAGCAAACACTTGAGAGAAAATTGCAAAGCTTATCCTTGAATACATTCAGCAACATGGTGAGATACTCCTGCTGTTGAGAAACTGGCTAGTGGAAACAGATGTGTATATTCCCAACAGGTAAGGTTTTTTCATCTACAAAGCAGTAAGGCAGAAATTATATTCTGCCTTTTAAAGGTTAATTGTTAGACTGGGAAAGCATTCATCCCATGCACTGGCAGTTTGAAAAGAACCTAATTTACTAACAATTCAGATCAATGCCTAGAATCTCACAGTCCTGCTGCCTCTATTTGCTTCCTAAAAGGTTAAAAAAAAAAAGCTTTTGTAATTACAGCATCATGAGTAGGGCTTGTTCCTAAGCATCCATCCAGCAAGTGCAACCTGCCAGGAGTGATGACTCCACTTGGCTATGCATGGGGATATCTGGAGGTTTGAACCAAATTATCTCACTTCATTTGGCCTGGATCAGTGAACTGGAAATCACATGGCATTTCCCTTGTTGAGATATAAATGTCATGAAGGGAACCCGTCTCAGGTTCTGCCTCAGTCTGGCAAACACACTGAAGCACAGAAGGACATGAGAATGAAAATGGTTGGAGGAGGTAGTGTAAATTCATGCAGACAATATGCTAACTGCCCACACTTGCAGGCCACTGCTATGCTGAACAGGACCAAGGAGATAAACTGAGCCTTAAAAGAACAGTTAAGCTATTCAGACATATTTGAGTGTAGTTAGGAGGCTCCATTTGAAAACACAGACCTGCCTCCATGGCTCAGAGGCCAGCTTTCAATAGCACCAGCCATTCAGGAAGCACTTTGTTAGCCAGCAGCTCCCACAGAGCTGAGGGTGGTTGGTAGCCCCATCCATCCTGTAGATTAGGTACAGTGGCTCTGCCACTGCCACCATGAAGTATTGTAGCAGGCTGTCATTTAAACAACACAACCTGCCAGAGCACTATTTTGCAGAACAGCCCACAACACCAATGGCCCATGCAGTGTTGATTAAATGCTGCTAGTCTTGCAGCAGTACAGAGTTAAAAGTAGGTGCCATGCACAAGACAGGCACCCAGGAAGCCCAGGCTTCACCTGACAGGCTTTGTGACAACTCTGTGCTTGCTACTCAAAAGGTGGGACTTATTGACACCTCCTAGGACTGCAGCCCTTGGGTACTATTTTCCCTCATGGCCCCTGCAGCAAACAGGCAGACATGTCCAGTGGTTGTAACAACATGAGTGGATCTAGTAAAGGCACTGGGTAATGGCACCCTGAAAGTGTGCACTTAGATCTGCAAATGGGTTATTGTAGAGCAACAAATACCTGAAATACTTTTTGGACTCGGGGCCATATGCCTTCTCCTAGCCCAAAGCAAATAGGAGTGTGACCTAATGTGAATTAGGTCAGCACTTGCTGAAACAGAGCTGAAAGGTTTTACACCAATGGGGAATACCTCATGTACTCTCAGGCTCCCAGGGAGGTATGGGTGAGCAGTGAGAAGCACTGATGTTCTTACCTGTGGCCACCAGCAGCCCAGGAGCTGTCTCTTTGCTGGAAATGCTCCCTGAAGTGTATGGATTCTCTGAGAGCTGCAGGCGCAAGTGCAGTGAGCAGAAGGGCTGTTGACAGAAAACAAACAAAAGGCAGAAGCTTTAATATTCATCAAATTAAATATCAGAGGAACCCTTGGTGACTGCACACAGATGCTCTGATCCTTCTGAAAATGACCCCTTTGCTCTTAGCACACATAGGTCATATGTTCCTTTGATGGATAAGCAGGAACCATGCACTACAAACAAGCATGTCTGCCCTTGTTTTAACAACAATCTGACTTAGAGCACTTTTCCCCAGCAATTTTCTTATTCTGACTTGAATTCTATTAAATACATCAAGAAAGATGGTCAGAATTTGCCCTTAAAACCTACAAAAATATAGATAAAGAAATTTACTGAATTCATTTAACACACAGAAAGTCAAGAGAGAAAAGATGGGAAGTTTTGTTAACCTAGTGACTTCAATAAGCAGCTCTGAAGAAGTCAGTTGTGCCTTGGAAAAGATCTGCCACTCACCAGCTGGCAAAGTACAGGATCCCCTCTTAGATCAGTGTCCGGTGCCTGTAGCAAACGCCAGTCTCTGCCTTTGTTGTAGGTAATGAAAGTCTTGATCTGGTCATCCACCTTCCTGTTAGCCAGGAATATGCCTTTGATCCCTGCTACCTAGGAAAAAGGGAGAGAGATGAAAAAAAATACATCGGAAGAACAGGCCAAAAGCAATGTCCATCTGAGCACTCTCAGGAGAGGAAAGCCTCTGTAAAAGCAAGGAAGGCATCTCAGTCAAATCTTAGAACATCAAATGGCACTAAAGGAATATCTTGCAAAGCTGAAAGGTCTTGTGTGGTTTCTCTCTTTGGAAGAAAGAGACAAGGATGGTCAAAGAGCAAATCCCTAGGAAACAGCCCACTTTTGGATTTCATTGAGTTCTTGCAGATATGCTGATGATGATCTTGAAGGTGCAGCATGCACCAGGTCACACTTGTGCTCTGTGAGCTTGGGGATGGGGTCTGTCCCACTGCCTCCACAGACTGCCAGAACAGGGGAGACAGATCACATCAGAAGTGTGGGATCTTTTTGTGTACCAGAAAAAAAAAAATCAATACAAAAGATGGGAATCCTGAACATGCTGCGACACTGATGTTTTGCAAACTTGATTTCTTCGCTTTCCTTCCACATCCAAATTCTGACAAATCAAGCCAGTTGTTTCAAATGTTTTGATTTTTGTCAGCAGAACCCATTCCAGCAGAATATGGTCCTGTCAAAACATCCCCAAGAAGATTTCATGTTGAGTCTGGTCTCTGTTGCACAGCTGTGAAAATGAGACAGGAAGAAGAAATTTTCTGCAAAAATCTGCAACTTCCTGGCAACTGTCAGGATGCAAATCCTTCTACTCTGAAGCCCCTGGAGTGATACTATTCTTTAAATGACTCTGTAAAAATTTATTAGCATTTAACAGTGAAAAGTCTATGATATACCACTGGGGAGTACACAGGTTTGCTCAGGAATGTGCGACAATGCATGTTAATTTTAGCTGGTTCATCATAACAAAGAAATATACTTTTTCAGAGGCAGGAAAATATATTTAACCAGGTGAAGAAAAAACATAAACTCTGTCCTTCATACTAATCAATGTGTTATTTGTGAATTTTTCCTCATTGACTTAAACTACCTGGATTTTTTTAAACTAATTTATTATATTGTTAAATGAGCATTATTCTGGCTGAAATAATAAAACATATAGTCATAACATCTGCATGCAGCTGCAAGAACTTTCTCTGTGTAACAGTAGTAATCAGTGGGACCTGATGCAACCATTTCTATTACTATTACTCATTAGTTGTTTGCTGCTGGCAAAGCACTGAGCCCTGCATCTCAGCAGATCTTCCACCCAACAAATAATAACACGCCAAAACCAGAATGCTCTGAAGAAGCCAGGAACTGGAATTGCTCTGAATGCACTGCTGCTGCTGGCCAAGGCTGACAGGCTTGGAAGAAGCATGAGAATGGAAGATAGTTTGGGGTAGAAGTTGTCCATCTGTCATCTCTGGGCAAGTGGCACCTACAAATTTTTGGTTGTAGTTCACAAACTGTTCAGTGCTCATGAAGGTGCAGTCCAGACTCCCTGCCTGTGAGCAGGTGTCTCTAGATGCCCAAGGGAAAAAAGGTGTGTTTAGTCTTTCTATGGATATCCACATTAGGATGAGAAGGATAATGGTCTTCCCTTTTGGAAATGACACATAGCTAACTAGTCATTGACTTGAACCCAACCAGTTGTTGCACCTATAGCAGAATAACTGCATCTGTTTCCACATGAGTCTCCTCAGCATCAAATCCAGGAAATGCCTCAGGGCAATCCTAAAACAAATGAAAATCCTGGGAGGTTGGTAAGAGATTTACACTTGCTTGAACTAGCAGGCCATTGCTGCTGTTTGCAGGGTGACCTTTACTGCATACCTCATAAAGGTCAATGACAATATTGCCCTCCAGTCCTCGGCTGCTTTTCACATTTTCCAAGGCCAGGGTGAAGTAGACCCCTCGGGTGTCGGAGATGTACAGGTTATAGGTGTCATTCTGGTTCCACTCTTGAACAGCTGCAAACACCTGATTCTCATCTGTGCTGATAATATGCATGTCCTGTTAAAAGGAGACAAAAGGCCTGTTACTGAGGATCTCTGTATTTCTTTGCCCTTCGGGACATGTAGTAATTACCATGAATTATGAAAGAATGGAGATGGAGCATGAATTATAGGTATGTTTAACAACTTTCTGTTAGAGCAAGCCAATAAATTACCAGCATTGTGACTTTTCTGCATTTCACTTTTTAAATAATCACCAGCTGGGTGAAGGGTTTTTGCTTTCTTCATTTTTGGTACCTTCAAGGAATTTCATCCAGTTTCATTTTTTATTTATAAATTTGTATGTCGGTTTTATTACTCATGGAAGATTCACAGCCTTGGAGCCTGGAGTCTTCATAGTCACTAAGCATCATATGGCACCAGGCTAAAAGCAGTGATAATTTTCATTCTCATGCTGAAATAATGGGCTTGTGCTTCCAGCTGGCAAGAGATGGTATAAAAAACCTTGGAGTTCACATTTATTTGAAAGTGAGGTATAGGTATCAGTTTGAGCTACTGCTGATAGTGATTTTTAATAACACACTTTTCTATTGAGAGTTTATCTGAGATAATTATCCCACAATATAGGGGCTATCAAATAATCCACCCACTAAATTTGTTGGATTTCTGCTGCTGACCAAGATACAGAAAAGTCTAACAAGGGTTTCCCCATTTAGTTTTAATATCAAAGATATTTGACAGTGCATTTTCTTGGTATTATTTTAAAGGGGTTCATGGAAATTACTTTCAGGGTGGTGATGAGTATTGGAGCACTTCATTCTTGCTACTATTGTTGAACAAACTGACACAGGTTCAGTTAGAAGCAAAATGACTCTGGTTATATGAGACTCCATTTATCTATTTGTACCTACTTAAAATTTCTCTAGAGGCCAAGAGGCCTTGATTAATTCCTTGCACTCTTTCTGCATCAAGAAATCATAATTCTGGAAGTCTCCCAAAGGATGGAGTGACCTGATTTCAGGAAAGAATATCTGGAGGAAGATCAGCTCAATATCCTCATCGTGCCTAGGAGGCATCTTAATCTTTTGTGTGAGGTATCTAGATGAAAAGTTAGGATTGATTAAATTGGGGCTATTTCTAATAGACCTAACATATCCTATCGGCATGAGATGGGGAGAAAAACCATTTGAGGGCCTAATTCTATCCCAGTGAGTACAATCAGTGGGAGATTTGCAATTTCCCTCAACAAAGGAAGACTAAATCAGGAGGTTTGTTCTTGCCCAGAAGCTGTAATTCCTTAAAGATTAAGGAGGTACCCAACCTACTCTAACAGTGTGAAAATAAAGCAAAATGCCCAATGACTTCCATCTGTTTTTACCAGTTGCAGTGGAAATATTGCATTACCCTGGTGCCAACCTCACACACATACAACTCCAGCAGAGTTCATTAATCTGCACATGACAGATAGTTATTACTGTACAGCAAAAATATTCTAGTAACTACAGGCAGCATAAACAATCCTCCTTTACATGGCTGAAAGACTTTTCCATGACACCTAGCCTTAAAGTACTTCTGATCTTTAAATTACAAAAGTACCCCGATTTTATAGCATGCAATTCTAAATCAGGGCCACCAACAAATCTCTATTATTACAGGTCATTTTCCTAGTCCTGTGGCAACAATATTTTTGATACAAAGATATCATTTGCCTTCTTAGCCACCTCAGGAGCTGCTGGCTCATGTTTACCTGCTGTCAACCAACACCCCCAGGTCATTTTCCACTGAGCCACTTTCCAGCCACTCTGTCCCCATCCTGTAGCACTGTGTGGGGTTCTGGTGATCCAAGTGAAGGACCTGGCACTTCACCTTATGGAACCTCACATATTTGGCTTCCCAAGAGATCACATGTCTATGTTCACAAATGGTGGACTCACCTTAGGAAGGGAGTATTTGGGTAATTTGATCTGTGCAAAAGGTTCCCGTCTGTATGACACATAGTAAGTTGCTCTTCCACCAGTTGTCACCTATGAAAACACCAAAGAAAGTCAGAGATGACCCTTCTGAGACACTCTGTGATGACACCTCTAAAAGTGCTTGTCAAGCTTTCTTTCAGGTGTATTTTCTATGTATTTTCTATGGTACAGGTGTATTTTCACAGCCATCCTTAAAGGCATCTGGGTAACTCCAAAGAAATCACAAACCTGAGAGGGATGAAGAATTATTTAAGCTGTGCTATTGAACTTTCCATTTTGTCTCTTATGATTCAAATCCAGTGTGATTTTAACATCTCAGGAAAAAAAGTGCTGAGTGGGAGGAAAAGGAGGATCTGGTTTCATCACGTGGTCCAGCTCAGTTACCTTGGGCAAGTAATTTAAAGTCTCTGTGCTTCTGTTCTTCCCCTGTAAGTAGGAGATAATCCCTCTTTGCTGCTTCTCAGCCTTGTCTGCACTGTAAGTCCCTTGAGGCCAGGATTGTCTTCCAACAACCTTTTACAGTGACGAGCAGCAGAGATCCACACTAGCACCATTCACTGCTAACTGTAAATGTGCTCTTGGAAAGCTGGAGCTAAGCTCTTAGATGCCCTTTGTCACTATGAAACTGGTTTCTCTGAAATTATACTCTCTGAAAACGGATGTGCGTGGGGGGAACTGATAGACATCCAAATCTGCAGTTTTATGGACTGAATGAACTAAAGCCTATGCGAAAATGCCATGCATCAATGAGATCTAACACGGATAATTCGTAAAATATGGGCTCTAAAACCTGTCAGGAGTCACTTACTCTTGCTGTAGGTGTTCTTTTTGGCACCATCTCAGACCTGGCTAAAACAAGGCTTACATCAGTGAATTTCCTACATTCTGATGGTTTGGCAGTCTTGCAGGTCTTAAGATAAAATAATGCACAAAGCACTTGTCTATTCTACAGAATATCACTTGTTGGCTCCTTAGGTTTCCAATAAAGCTAAGAGAAAGGTCCTAGATTCTCTCCTAGATATACTTCCTTTATCTGACAGTGATATTTGAGAATGAGCTTACATAGAACATTGCAAGAGCATCAATTGTATTCTCAGCAATGATATCACCTCTAGATAGTGGCTTTCTTCCCTGGAGAAGCTGCCATCTGAAGGACACGCTATTATTGGTCATGAAATTTGATATCTAATCAACTCAAAGCTTTTCCATTGACAGTTTGAAAAACTGGAAAGAAAGGGAGGTTTAGAAGTAGGACCAGCTTCTACACTAAGACTTCCCCTTCAGATTTTTTCCCATTTTTACTTGTAATGTCAACAAAACTGTACTTAGCACCCTCCAGAGAAAAAACAAAACCAGCTACTATTATAGCACACATGGCCTAAGGTCATAAGAATGGCCTATATGACAGCAAATAAACTCTATACAGATAACATTTAGCTAAAGCCAAGGGTAAACACAAACAGGAAAATCTAAAGCAACTTGTCTACAGATCCAGAACAAGCCAATAGAAGAGACAGGGAGAAAACAGCAGTCAATGGACTCTCACTTCATGGAAAGTGCACTGGCACAGCAGTGAGCATTTCAGGGTCCTGCTCTGAGTTGAATCACTAGGTTGGGACCTTAAAGATCATCCAGTTCTTCCTTGTATCTAATCTAATTCTACCCTCTTTCAGTTCAAAGCCATTCCTCCTTGTCCTGACACTCCATGCCCTTGTCCAAAGTCCCTCTCCAGCTCTCTTACAGCCACTTTAGGTACTGGAAGGTGCCTTAATGTCTCCCTGAAGCCTTCTCTTCTGCAGGCTGAATAAGGTCAGTGAGTGCTACTTCTGAAAGATATATTTCCCATTTAATACTTCCACATCAAAATAAAATTTTCACAGGAGAGAACAGACTGTGCAGTTGATTCATACTGAGTCCAGCTGAAAGGCAAAATTCATGTTTGCAGTAATTTTATATCTCTTGACTCCACAAGCACTACTCAAAGGATTCCCACACTTCTAGATATTGTCTAAATAGCACAGAGAATATTTAAATATCCCCTCTTCACTTTCAATATTTATGGCCTCCACTGGAAACCCCAAATTCTCAATTCTCACATGAACTGAGTATGTCCAGTGACTACTTGCTAAGAACCCTGCACTCAATATCCACATCTTCTGATGGGCTGAGACATGGTCTTCAACTTGTAGATGAGGACATGAATATTTACACACTTTGTAAATGCTGTGATGACCAATTAAGATTGGGAACAGTCCAAAAATCTTCCAGTTAATCCAGTGAATATAGAGTGGCAAAAAAATCAAGGGGTGATCAACTTCCACTTTCTGTGCCACAACAGGTTCTACTAGAAATCTGCCACACTCAAAAGGCTTTACACCATTATTTTGGCTGTATCCCACTGAAAACTGGTACCTGGAGGGGCTTTGTTTGAATTACTTGTTTGGTTGGTTTTTAAATGCAGAAAGTTAGGATTAAAATACTGTTAAAGTTCAGTATGCAATAGTTAAACTCCCTTTCAGGCTCCCACCTGGACTAGGTCACCTTGACAAGGTTTAGAAATAGAAATATTTGAGGTTTGTGGTCTTTCTGAGCCAGTTAATACGAAGCCACCCACAATTCTGTTGGCAGGAGCTGTGTAAGCTTTTCCCAGCCAGGGTCTCATCTTCGCAAGATTTACATGCACAGTAATAACAGTTCCAAAAAAATGATCAAGCCTCCAATAAAGTTTTGGCAAGCACCGTGGTACAGAATGAATTTTGGAAGGCCCAACTTAATTTATTTTGATGAACTTTTCCTTTTCCTATGAGCAAATGCTCCAACACTGTAAATCCCAGAGATTATGGCAGTGTTTTGCCCTCCAATGCCTCCTTTCAGTTCACATTTGATGAATGTCACCCAATTATTTGCTGTGAGCTCATCTGTCATGCTCAGTACAGAATTAGCTGGGTTTGTCTTTTTCTTCCTCCATCGCTAATGACTGGATCATTAATCTGTTTTTCTGGATTTCTACTTTATGTGTTTAATTGGGCTTCTGGCCAGTAGAAATTATTCCCATGGACAAATGTGTTTGTCATTAAACACATCTGTCTTTCCTAACCTGTGTTCTTTCTTCCTCCCTCCACTCATGAGGTACTACTTTTCTTTAATATTTCCACATTCAAGACAAAAGTGTCATCTAATTTACATCAGCTGGCACTTAAGAAGAGAAACATGAGAAATTTCTCTTTGAAAGCCCTGAAAGTCTGCATATGTTGGCTCATTCCCCCTCCTGACCTGTAATGAGACAGAGTGCATCAAACATAGAAGAAAACAAATACGTTCACAAGACTGCAGAAAATTACATAAAATTTGTCATGGAATCTATTTATCTCAGTAATTTCTGTGACATGTCTAGGAACACACAAAGCCATTTCTCATGTTAATGATTGAATAAGATTATTTAAAAGCAAGCTTTGAAGCTTGCTTCCTTTTATTTTTTTTTCTTTAGATTGAAGTTCATCTTAGGCAAAAACACCTTCTTATCTAAAAGAGTTTGGAAGGCAAGCAGAATGAGTTAAGAGGTCTCAGACTGTAAAGAAGCCCTAGATTATGTGGGGAATTGTAGATCACTGTGTATGAGGCCTCTTTATCATCTTCCTGGCTGGTTTATGCTGGGACTTATAATCTCCAATGTAAGGCAGATATCGATGGAACAAACATGAAATTACTAAATCTCAGAAAGGCCCCTGGGCTAAGGAGGACCCCATCTGCCTCCTGCTGCTCAAAGAATTTGCAGGAAAGTGAACAAAAAGCTCACAGAACCAAATTTTACACTTCTTGTTGATAACTAAGTTCTTAATAGTATATAGTTGATGTTATTTTCAAAAAACCTCTCACTTGTTCTCCAAGGTGATTCCCCTGCTTGTGGAGTTCCCCTCCTTTCCAATAACATCAAATGAGCTGGTATCAGTGTTGTAGCAGCATCCTGGATCTGTGTTCTCCACCTCCATTGGGAGCCCTGGCATCCCTCCACATTGCTTTAACTTCAGGTTCCCTTTCTCCTTCTTGTGAGCATAAAGTCCCCCAAATCAAATTGTGGATTTAAGCACAGAAGAGTCATGGCAAGTTCAGCAGGCAGGCTGCTCCACTGACACCCTTACCAAGGGATTTTGGGGTTCTTCAGAGACAGCCCTGCCTAGGCCCTGCACAGGTTTGTGAGTATGAGAATTGAAAAGTTGTGCCTCTTCTCCCAAGCCTAACCACAATTCCAGTCACAAGAGGTTCAGAAGATGAGGAAGAACATGAACCTAGTGTAATGCTCTTCCTACTTGATTACCCACTATGACCAGGAAAAGCAATCTTCCAGATATTTCTGTGTAGTGAGGTTCTCCACTGCCTTAGCATAAATTCCATCATGACAGGTACCATCCAGTCTGAATTATCTCCCTGTGATTTTCATTAACATCATGCCTTCTGCACAGCCATTGAACAATATGCAATTACCTGAGTGTGCTGTGCTATTTCTGTGCATAAAGCACTCTCAAGTTGCCTGGTAAATTCAGCAGACTTAGAAAACATGACACTCTTTAGAGCATCACACCCATCAGAGAAAATTGGCTGTGACAAAGCAGCATTTATTATACTGGTCCAGTCCCTGTTCAGCTCCCTCTCCCCTCATAGCAAAGATGACACAGCTAAAGGACAGAGTAATCTCGAGTAAAAGTATTGCATTTGTTTTAAAAGCAAATCCTGCAGAAAATGTGCAGTTACACCAAAACACAAGCCACATTTGAGCTGCAGGTGCACATCACCCACACAGAAATCAACTTATGAGAAGAGCATAATTGTACACATTAAACCTCCTTTTGATTTCAGAGGAAACATATGAGTTTGCCAAAGCAATACTTTACATCTTCAGCTGATCAATCAGACAGCGTGATGGGAGGGGAGAGAGTGATAAAACAAAGTACATCACAAAAAGCCCTAGAAAGAAAATCAATAAAAAATAAATAAATAAGGGAAAATGTTAATAATTTTTTTTTTATCAAGAGATGGTTAGGCTGAAGTTCCAA